TAAGTCTACAGATTTTGTCAAATGACCAATATAACTATCAAAAATTTAATCGACTTCCAAAAGATACAATTTGACTATTGAATTTGTATAATTCGAGTTTATAGTACTGTTTTAATTTTACATCATTTTTCTCGATTATTTATATTTTTATTATATTTTCTTAAACTAAACGTTATTTAGTATTGAATTATTTAGTAAAGATTGTTTGTGACACCCCAAAATTCGGGGGTCCATTGATCACCCATCAACCCGCGGAATACCTGTAGATACCGAGTAACTCGATATCGCGCCATAATGTCCCATTTACTAGGATCTATAATTTAACAAAATTCGGACAGAGTCTTCTTTGTACGGAAAACTCTACCCAAAACTCAACTTGTACAATAGACATTCACATGACTCATCCAAGACCCAATATAACACAATGACCGCACCAGGTCCATTTATGAGTAAAAATTAACCACACCGGGTCCATTTATCCATACTCATATAAAAACATGTAATGTTATATTAAAACAGTCCATATAAATTCAGTTACAATTCTTTTACACATTACATGCCCAAAACATAGTTTACATAAACTGAGGTTAAAGGCCACAATCCGGCCTCTCTTTACCCTTGAGGATCCAAGGGAGGACCGTTTACCAGTATGTATCCAGCAACTGAAATGTTTTTCCCTGTAGGGTGAGCCACGCCCAGTAGATCCCCCACCTAAGTGTACATGTAATGCTCACATACAACATTTCATATTCACATCAACATTAAAAGTAAGAATATGCATTCAATGTTAGAATTTATTATGTCATGCCATGAAATAAGATGAGACTCACTCATGCAAATCAATCCGAGCCCTTCTCAGTTCCTCAACACATGCAAGTGTCAATGTGTATGGAATCGTCATTTATATTGCACATCACATCACTTTTACCAATCTAGGGTTTTTGTATGGGGTGGACGTTCATGGGCTTACACCAAGAGTCTCCAACACATTTGGAATTTATGAACTTCCACCAAGGGGCTCCACGTACGTCCGCACACTTCATGCGACAAGTCAAGAGAGTGTGTATTCCTATCACCGGGCCTTGCATCCAAGAGATCTTCTAGTCCCTCCTTGCTAACCCCAACCCTAATCACCATGCAACCTGTGCAATTCAGTCAAGTCTTCGACCAAGCTTAATCGAGTCCACTAATCATCCACTAAGTGTGGAGTTGACGACAACCATGCAACACCCACATGATGCGATATTACCGTGCATATGCAATATAATGTCCCATTGTACAATGATAACATATTCAACATGCTATGAAAGACAAATGAACAATATCAATGCATTTCACATATCCCATAACAAAATTATATCATAAGCATATAATTCTCATAATTCTCCACAATATCAATATAACACAAGTATATATATACATTGACAATTTTCATATCACTATTTCACAACACAATTTCAAGCATGTTATTACAACTTTTATGTCAATAACACACTTAATCACAAAGGTGCAATATACCACATAACTACACATATAGTAACCCACATAACGACCCTTATATAAACCACAAAATAACCCCTATATAAGCCACCAAAATAACCCCTATATAGGTCATAAAACAGTCTTAAATTTAGCCACAAAACAACCCTTAAACAAGTCATTAAGCAGCCCAAAAGACAGCCACAAAATAACCTATAAATAGGCCATTATACATCCCAAAAGATAGCCACAAAATTGCCCCTACATAGGCCATAAAACAATCCCATAAGACAGCCACAAAATAGCCCCTAAACAGGTCATAAAACAGCCTAAAAGATAGCCACAAAATAGCCCAAAAGACAGCCACAAAACAGTCCCTATATAGGCCATAAAACAGCCCCAAATTCAGTCCAAAATACAACCACATAACAATCCATATTTTAACCCAAAACGGTCCATCATTTCAACCCCAAAACAGTCCATAATTTTAGCCCTTAAACCGGCCCTAGAACAACCCCAAATGAGATGAATAAAACTAAAGTAGGAAGGACCCTACCTCTTGTAGCGTAGAAACTTCAAGAATACCAAAATCACATCCAAAACTTGATTTTCCCAAATATCATCCTTTGGATCTTTAGTGAAATCCTTCGTTCTTGGTGTGATTGCATAGCCCTTGTCGACATGATTAACTTTAACTCTTGGCTCGACAGATTCTGACCAACGGAACTCCGAAAATCGAAGAAGAAAGCGTGAAGATTTCTCTTGTCTTCTCTCTCTTTCTCCCACACATTGGAACCAGCTGAATGAAGAGTGAAATATTTGATTTTTCAGATATTTAACCCCTATTTATAGCCTCTTAATGTGCGGTCCAAATTGCACCACATATTTTCGACTTTTAGATCCATTTTTCGTCTCGAAGCGATTCATTATATCCTGGTTTAAATTTAAATTAATTTTATTTAAAATTTTATAAATTTTATTTTTAGGGACCTTTAAAAGGTCATTCGTCACTAAATTATCTCGTAAAACGTACAAAATTCGACTATCTCAAAATTCAACGAACATTGACAAGGCAACTCAATTTTGCGATACGAATTCAACGGTGAAGTCCGTTGCATCATCCGAGCTCTAGAAAAATATGAATTTTAAACCCACATTATAGTGATAAATTACCATTTTGCCCTTTTTTCAAAAAAGTTTAAATTTTTCCCGAGTTTTACATTGTTGCTTCATGTTGTTCACTAAATATTAAATTTGAATGATTTGTGTTCATAGTATTACTTATAATTTTGTATCGTTTATCTCGCTTGTAATTTTGTATCATTTTTCTCAGATATTTAGATTTTAATTATTTAGTAAATATTATTATTTTGTGTTGTTCACTAAATATTAAATTTGTATAATTCATATATGTATATGAATTTAATCTTGTATATTTTAAATGTTAAACATATTGTCTTTAATATATCTCTTAATATCTGAGTTGTCCGATCACATGAATTTAATCATGTATATTTTACATGTTAAGCATATTTTATTTGTTAAATTAGTTTTTTTGCAAGTTATGTTTTTTTATTGATTATGAAAAAAATAAAATTAACTATTGAATTTGTATGATTCGAGTTTATAATAGTGCTTTTAATTTTATATAATTCTTCTCGATTATTTATATTTTTAGTATATTTTCTTAAACTAAACGTTATTTAATATTAGATTATTTAATAAAAATTGTTACTTCGTGTTGTTTACTAAATATTGAATTTGTATGATTCGTATTCATAATATTGCTTATAATTTTGTGTCATTTGTCTCGAGTATTTAGATTTGGATTATGTAGTAAATATTGTTGGTTTGTGTTGTTCAATAAATATTGAATTTGTATGATTTATGTTTTTATATGAATTTAATCTTGTATACTTTAATTGTTAAACATATTTTCTTTAATATATCTCTTGATATCTGAGTTGTCAAATAACTTGAATTTAATCTTGTATATTTTACATGTTAAGCATATTTTTTTTGTTAAATTAGATTTTTTGCAAGTTATTTTTTTTATTGATTATGGAAAAAAAAAAAATTGATTATTGAATTTGTATGATTCGAGTTTATAGTAGTGCTTTTAATTTTATATCATTCTTTTCGGTTATTTATATTCTTAGTATATTTTATTAAACTAAACGTTATTTAGTATTGGATTATTTAGTAAAGAATGTTACTTCGTATTGTTTACTAAGTATTGAATTTGTATGATTTGTATTCATAGTATTTGCTTATAATTTTGTATCGTTTCTCTCGCTTGTAATTTTGTATCATTTTTTTCGGGTATTTAGATTTGGATTATTTAGTAAATATTGTTGTTTTGTGTTGTTTATTAAATATTGAATTTGTATAATTTGTGTTTGTACATTAATTTAATTTTGTATATTTTAAATGTTGATGATATTTTCTTTAATATATCTCTTGATATCTGAGTTGTCAAATAACTTGAATTTAATCTTGTATATTTTACATGTTAAGCATATTTTTGTTTGTTAAATAAATTTTTTTGCAAGTTATGTTTTTTTTTATTAATTATGAAAAAAATAAAATTGACAATTGAATTTGTATGATTCGTATTTATAGTATTGCTTGAATGAAAGAGAGAGATACAGAAGAATATTTTCGTGATATTTACTATCTAATATTTATTACATAATTTTCCTTTAGAGAGAGATATAGATGAATATTTTCGTAATATACTATTTTTCTTTGTGATATATACTATCTATCTACAGAGAGTAGTATTTACTTGAATCAGACACTATTTAATATTTTCGTGAGATACAGAGAAAAATATTATGAAAAATTGATAATTTTTGTGTGAATTGAGCTTGAAAGAGAGATATAGACGAATGAGAGAGAGATATTTGCTTGATTTAAGAAAAAAATTTGAAAAAATTAAAGTTTAGAATATCAATTTTTGGACACTATAAATTTTGAGCAGTAAAAATATTTCAAAAGAGTTAATGTGATATATCGGATCAAAACGATCTGAGACGTCAATAAATCGAGACAGTTTGGGATAACGTCATTTGTTAGATGACATATTTTTTTGTCACGAAACGATTTAGACCACAATTTGTCTCTAAAATTCAAATTCATTATATTTTATTTATATATATATATATATATCAAAATAATTAAATTTGACAGAATATCAAAATACAAAGAAAAAAAAATCACACAACACATATGACAATAAATAAAAATTAAATTGAGAAATACTATTAACATGCATCTCACTAAAAAAAATTTATATTGAAAAAGTTATTTTATATTGGGTGAAAATAATGAATAAAATCCTAAATTTGAAAAAATAGAATATAACCTTGTTATTAAAATGGTGTGTATAGTACTTGATGAGCTGGAATAGATATATAAAGAATAGATTTAATAATTTGATTATAAAAAATTTAACGGGATAGAAATAGATATTTGTGGAGGTAAAAATAACGCCACGCAATCCAATTTGGCACCGGTCAACGACGCCTTAATAATTTCTCCCCTTGGGCCATCAGCTCCTTTCTCTCTTTCCGTTTCCCTCATTTTCTCTCTTCCCGAAACCCCCTCTCTTCCTACCCTGAACTTGCTCTCTGAAGAAACACAATGGAACACCAGTCCGTACAATCCGAATCGAACAGCCACATTGAAGACAACACAAGCAACAATCACGGATGGCAAAAGGTGACGTATGCGAAACGTCAGCGAAAAACTCTCGCCAAACCGGCGGCTACCGGAAATAGCATTCCCAACGGATCTTCTATTTCCGGCGGTGAAACTGTGTTTACGTCGCTGGAAAAACAATCGGAGGAGCGGCGCCGGCGAATCGAAGCCCAGAGAGCGGCGGTTCTGGCTGATTTGGAAGCTCCGGTGAGATTGTCCGGTAAGAAAAGGGACGATGATTATGAGGAAGGGGATGAGACTGATTCGGAAGCTGTTGAGAACGGAAAGCTTGAGGAAAAGAAGTTGGTGAAGGCCAAGAAGCCAAAGAAACCGAAGGTCACGGTGGCGGAAGCTGCAGCGAAGATCGACGCCGCTGATCTCGTCGCTTTTCTCGCTGATATTATGGTATAAATTTGTCAAATGATTATGAAATTCGTCTAAGTTTAGTTATTATGGTCATTTTTGGATAATTTGGTTTGATTTGTATGGAATCAAGAAATGCAATTTTCAATTTGTTTGATTTTGATTCTTTCAATTCTTGTTTCTTTTTGGTTGCAGGGGTCCTATGAATCACAAGAGGAGATTCTGTTGATGCGATTTGCGGATTATTTTGGACAAGCATTTTCGGCAGTGAATGCGTCTCAGTTTCCATGGCTGAAGCTGTTCAGGGAGTCCACTGTTGCCAAGATTGCAGATGTGAGTTGGCCTTCGTTAGTTCTTTGAGATTCATAACATTGAAGGTCGGATTGTCTTGGAAGGTCACATTTTTTTGGAAAATGATTTATCTTGCTGAAATTCAAATGACTGTTGATGTTTTTTAATTATATGAGCTAATATATTGATATTGATATGGGGCATTAAGATATTGAAATTCCAATGCACATTATGATATGTTTTTTCAGGAAGCTTGAATCCTTTTAAATGGCATCATTTGTGGATGGTGAATATGTACACTTATTGTGTCATGTGACACAAAATTAAACTGTTATTGGATACCTAGATTCGTCATATTGGTTCTTTCTTTTTGGTTTCTATACAAATAACTTATATGTGAAACATTTTATTAGCTTGTTTTGGTTATGAATTTTTATCCTTTCTCTGTAATATATTTTGTGCTGATTGAGAGGGATGCACTTATGCTTTGATAGTTCATATGCTGGTGATCCTTTATTGTGCCTAGCTTACATGCACAAAGTTGTTAGTTCCATTTTAATTATTTTTGAAGCCTCGGGCTGTGTAAAAACATAAAATCAATAGATTATTGAAAAAAATTTGGAAGCTGGATTTCATTCATTCTATTGAATCCCTTCGTTGTTTTGTTCCTATTTAAAAGACTTTGTAAAGCTTAAGTTGATTTATGCTCAACAGATCCCTGTTTCTCATATTTCTGAAGCCGTATATAAGACTTCAATTGACTGGATCAATCAACGTTCCTATGAGGCACTTCGATCCTTTGTTTTATGGTTGTTGGACAGTATTCTTGCTGATGTAGCAAGCCAACAGGCAGGTCCCAAGGGCTCAAAAAAAGGTGTGCAACAAACATTCTCGAAATCCCAGGTACTTCTTCCCTCATACATATGTATTTTTATCTGTTTCTGTCTCTAATAGTTGTATTGAAGAATTTACCTATTATTGATCTACTAATGCATGTACAGCCTTTTTTTTAATGTCAAATGTTAAGTTTTTTGACAACCAGAATTGTTGCCCATTTTAGGCACATGTCATGTGGGAAGCACTGGAAATGATTATATGTAAAAGTCACCAAATTAATTCCTGGGTACCAATAACATTTTGAGATGTTTTTTCCAGCATTCATCATAGGCATGGTCAGATATGCACAATCTTACTCTATATATGGAGAGGCTTGTGACTCGAATCTGAAATGTCGAGGTCACGATGAAGTTGCACCAAGACCTTCTCTCTCAATGCATACAAAATATCTATTTTCAAAAATAAATCCAACTAGAGGCATTAGAAAAAGAGTGCTGCCAGTTTTAACTAGAGTATCCTGGTCTTGCTAGATCTCAATTCTTCTGTTGATTCCTATAAAATAACAGCTGTTGGAATATATAGGCATAAAAAATTTTGGATTGTTGAATTTGTGAAAGAAATTGTACCCGTTTTATATCAATTGGATCAAAATGTTATTTGCCTGGGGATAATGTTCCCTGGTAACTCGGTTGATTTCATGTTGATCTGCACGTATATGTATGTAATCTCACGAATAATGGAAATATAGAAAGCTCCAAGATAATAAAAGCATCACAACTGCTTATTGGTTTGTAAGGTTAGAATCTAGTGCCGGAGTTCTTTGTTCATGTGATATGGGGGCATAAAAACTGGAGTCCATAACACCAACCCCCACCCCCATCCCCTTCTCCCCTTATAGCTAAATCCCCTCCCTTCTCAGATGGTCGGTCTTTTTGGCAAATATTTGCAATACAAATTTGGTTATAGTTTTCTGCTGATGTTTTAACCTTTTTTCCCTGCCTCCCCACTGATGACTGGGTTGCTTATGCTGCGTTATACACATGTATATGCACATGTGTATATAGTTTTTCACTCTTATTATGCACAACTTGCATATGTTCCAATCCTTGTAACTGGAAATCCCCCCACCCCCACTTCCAAAACGGAAAAATGAAGATACTCGTATCATGCATTATCAATTAAGCTGTCATCAGTATTGTGCTGCTAATGTGATATATTGGACTAAATTGTGGTCTGATGTACACTTATGTATTGTTGAAATGGCAGGTTGCTATATTTTTAGTTTTAGCAATGGTGTTGCGACGGAAACCTGATGTTCTGATCCATGTGTTTCCAAAGTTGAAGGAAAATTCAAAGTATCAAGGACAAGATAAGCTTCCAGTTATTGTGTGGATGATAGCTCAGGTGAACGAATAAAGTTAATAGTAGGGCAGCTAAGGATCTTTTGAAGAGAATAAATAATTATTTTTTATTTGTATCTGTTATTTGTTTCCCATTAATGTGGATTATATGCCAGAATTGAATTCTTTCATGTGTAGGCATGTGAAGGAGATCTGGCTGTGGGGTTGTACTTATGGGCTCACTACATTTTGCCTATAGTTGGAGGCAAATTAGGTTCTAATCCACAATCCAGAGATTTGGTTTTACAGTTAGCGGAAAGGTTTGAAAAGATTTAGTTTTCCCATTATTTGTTTGATCTTGTTTTGATGTCTAGTATGAATTTAAAAGTTGTTGTTTTTTTTTTTTTTTATCAGAATTCTATCTGCCCCTAAGGCTCGCACTATTTTAGTAAATGGTGCTGTTAGGAAGGGAGAACGTTTGATGCCACCTTTGGCACTCGACCTGCTTTTACGTGTGACCTTTCCTGCATCTTCAGCTCGGGTCAAGGTGGGAATAGTCAGGAAGCACCTGTTGTGTTCTGTGAATGAAGTTTCTGTTTTTAAATACATGACAGTATAAATTCTTTGCTTACCCTTCTAGTGTGGTATGTGGTGCAGGCAACAGAAAGGTTTGAGGCAATATATCCCACCCTTAAAGAGGTGGCTCTTGCGGGTTCCCCTGGAAGCAAAGCCATGAAGCAAGTTTCGCAACAGATACTGTCCTTTGCCATGAAAGCAGCTGGAGAAGGTAATCTGAAGAAGTGACTGTAATATCTATTCTACTTTTTGTTTCCTTGAAATTGTCTTGAAACATGAAAGTCATAGAATTGAGTTTGAGATGTAGCAATTTTTGCAGGCATCCCTGAGCTATCACGGGAAGCAACTAGCATTTTTATCTGGTGCTTGACTCAAAACCCTGATTGCTATAAGCAGTGGGTGAGCTGTTTTCATTCATATCCACTTTGCATTCTTGTGACACGGTCTTTTATTGTTTCATGGAGAGGTCATTATAAAAGGCTCATCTTTTGTTCCCTAAATTTGGTTTTAACAGGACAAGATTTATATTGACAATTTAGAAGTCAGCACTGTGTTTCTGAGAAAACTTAATAAGGAATGGAAGGAGCTATCTGTAAAACATTCTTCTCTGGAGGCTCTGGGGCAAACTCTAAAGAGTTTCAGGCACAAGGTAGTGTGTTAATTTACTTTAACTTTCTCTGGACATTTAACAACGAGTAACTTTCAGCTGTATCTGGGCACACAAGTCCATGCATGTGTGCACTAGAAAGTTATGGTAGTGTTATATTTTGGAGAGTTGTTTTAACTGGAAAATTTTCAGGTTTTTTTATTTGATCCTTTTATCACCGTGTACAGAATGTGGAAGCATTGGCTGGTGATGAAGAGGATGCTGCTCGTCTGGCACTTTTCAAGGAGGCAGACAAGCATAGCAAGGTGATATTGGGAAAGCTATCACGTGGGCATGGATGTATGAAAAGCATGGCTTTTGTCATCATTGCACTGGCTGTTGGGGCTACTCTCGTGTCCCCGAGCATGGAATCTTGGGATTGGAACAAATTTTCTGTTCTGTTCAGCGCCCACCAGTCGTCCTAAGCAGCATGTGTTTGAAAACCAAATCTCCAGTCAGATGATGTCAGACCTGGACATTGGTTTGTAACGATAATCAGCGGGGCAAAAGCAATCAAATGCCCATAATAAAGTAGCAGAGAGAGGTGTATGTCTTGTGTAATTCTAGGAAGTCCCGTTGGGATACTGAAACTAGAAATAGTTCAAAATCGTTAGTGTGTCCAATGATCAACTTGGTTCTAAACAATTAGGACCGACTTGACTGCCCTGTTTTTTTTTTTTTTGTCCCAGCTTTTTCTGGGGTAGAGCTTCTTGTTCAGCTCTAACGTTTTCAGTGTCTGCGAGATGAGGATAATACAAAAATGGATATGATTGTATTTCATTAGGGATGTGGTTGTAATCCACAATGAATTTTGATAAGCATAGCAACATTGGTTCTTATTATTTTTACACTTCATGCTTATACGTTATTTCGGATATCCTCTGGAAAAATGGTGATCTTTTGGTATGTAATTTAATGACAAACCTCAAGGAGTTTTGGTGTAATGTTGAACTGTTTGGTAACGTTTTTAAAGTATACTTCTGTTCTTTAAATATCTTTTTAAGTAACGTTTGTTTATGTATTGTTTTTTTCTTCTTGTTGGGACTTATTCCATCTTCTAATAGTATTACTTAAATGATGCCATTCTATTTAAACGACGATGTCTGATTTCATTATTTGTGGACAGTTTTCAGTTGATTACAGAAAAACTTTACCGCTTAAAATTGCGTGAATAATGCACTATAGGGTCTGGCTTTGTTGCGTGAATAATGCACTATAGGGTCTGGCTTTGTTGATCAAAACGACATTGTTTTGAATTAAAACGGTGTCATTCTTTTTAATAAAATGACATTGTTTTGAATTATTTTGAATTAAAATAATGTTGTTTTAATCAACATTAACTATGTTATAGATGATCCGTAGCCCTAGAGTGTATGTGACTTGTCATAAGGATATTTCAGCAATGAACCTCCAACTGCGAAGGGTCTTCCATTAACAGCCAAGGCTATTCATGCATTAGGCTTGTTAAAATTTGACACAACACTATTAACCAGTATAAATCGATACAAATTAAATGGGTTTGGATAAGATATTTTAAATAAAATTAATATAATAATAAATTAATAATTATTTTAAAAAATTAGCGAAAAAAAAAATAAAGAAATCAATACAAAAAAAATAAAGTAGTAGTTGAAAAAAAAAAGAGGAGATATAAGAGCAGTTCATGACAAAGACAAATTAACCCCTTTTGTTTTTGTCCCACGTCGACAAATGAGAGAAGATGGGGAGGACTATCTTACCTATAAAAATAGTGACTTCTTGTCTTCTTTTTAACCTTTAAATATGATTTTTATGTGAAATTTGATTAGAAATTTCTCTTTTTTGAGGTAAATACAATTAGCAGTAAAAAAAATGGTATATTAAAATTTGTTGATATAATTTTTTTAAAAAAATTAAACGGGTTAAACGAATTGTGTCGTGTTACCCATTTATTAAACATATCGTGTTTGTCACCCGTTTAATCCGACACGTACCCGTTTAATCTGACATGTTTGGCACCCCTACTATACATGGATTTAGTTGGAATTTTCTGAAGTTAATGACTAAGAATAAACATGAAAGGTTAGTATCGAAATCATTCAAGTATCGAAATCATTCAGGACACTCGAACTTAACTCATTTAAAATAATATTTTTCATGCGATAAAATAATAAATTAACACTCTTAGCTTAATGTATAAGGTCATTGACTTTTAAACAAGGTACTCTATTATGGGTTCCAACATCATTAGACATTCTATTCGAAACAAAAAAAATATCATGGGATATGTGTTTTTGAATTTACTTAAGTTTAAGCTCAAATTCGACTAAATTGCACTAAAAAAATAATAGCTGATCATCGCATTCGCTCTCGAATACGTTTGTTGGAATCATATACTTTTTAAATTGATTCGATGTGAGTCAAATCATATATAAATATGAGTTTGATTTTTCAAGCTTCAATTATTTGAATTTAAATTATATCATAATTAAAATATTTTAATATTGTAATCTAATTACAATTCAATTTGAACAATATAGATATCTAAGTATATAATGACATTGAGTGATTAGTTGATACTATTAAATTTAGAATTCTTATTTTAACTCAAATTGAGTTTTTCAAATTTGATTTTTTAACTTTTAAAGATTTCAAATATGATTTGCAAAAATAAAATTTATCAAAATTTTAAATTAAATTAAAATGTGATACTTGAATTCAAATTCGTATCTAAGTTTTGCACCTCATAACTTCATATGTGAAATATTTTTATGCAATGCGGGAATAACTTTTCAATTTAACAACAATATGGAAATTGGAATTTAGTAGTTTTTCTTTCATTTTCTAATTTATATATATATATATTATATTACAGTCAATATTATATAAACGACTTTATTCTTACATCGACTAATTCATTGCCCGATCTAATTAAAAGTATATCATTCACGCCACTAAAAAAATTGTCAAATTTCGGATTACCGGTGGGTTTACACTTCAATCTCTTTCTCCAATTGGGCATCCTCGGATTTAATTGATATTTATCTTATTTTCAATTCATCACATAATTAGTGCATAAATAAGGTGTGACCCAAAATTTCAGAAGAAAATCTTTCTACTGGAAGGGCCCCACATCTCCACCACCCAAGGTGAGGGTGCAGTGCACCACCATACGCCCCACTGGACCAGTGTCTCTCTTCTAGATTTTAGCAGACTTCATCACCCAACGCTGCACAATAGGCAAAACAGTTGAAAAACCCAAGTATCTTTTCCTATAGAAACCCCCAAAAAACTATAAACAAAAGCCTCAAACTGTCCGTAGTTCTCTTCTATTCTTGTTAGAATTGTTTAGGGTCAGCATATTATGGCCTTAACAATTCCTACCCAGTTCAAATTCAAACCACCCAATCTGCAACACCAATTTTTGCGAATCCATGTGGAAGTTTTTACAGTTAGAACCACGAATAAGCCACAAACTTGTTATTTTACCTCCCACAATCATCATCTGCGGTGTAGACTTAAACCCAAATCATGGTTTGCCCGTACTACAGTCCTCCCAAGTTTCTGCATTAATGGAGGGGGTGAAGTTGATGCCTCCCCACAACAGTCTACACCTTCTGTAAGTTCTAAATTTTCTCCAATTCAATATGGGTTCAACCAATTTCATTTGTCCTGTTTTGTCCAATGTTACCTGAATCATGGCTCGCTTTGGTAGGTGATGCAGGTATAGGTATATGGTACGAAACTTTCTTAAGTATGTGATACGATGAGTGTAGGTTTAGCTGGTACGGTATTTTGGGTTACAATTCGTTTTAAAACTGTTATGTAGATTATTTTCACTGCTATACAACATTATATATTACAAAATATTCATAAACACTAAGTTAGCTATCATTTATCTTATAATTGTGCTTGATTTTCTATTATCTAAAACAATATATAATTATAAATCTATATACATGTAGTCAATTAATATGTATTTTAAATAATGTTGTGTGTTTTGAAGCGAATTGATTTAGGGTTAGGATTGCAATTTGGGGTCGTCAATTTTGGTGATCTAGATCGCGAACCCACCACGTTTTAGATCGATGTACCTAAATCGTGGGTCGTTAAAAATTTAGTGAATTGTGGTAACCATGGTTTTGTCAATTTGTTATTGCATTTTTTTTCCCTCTAGTTTTTTGTTGTGGGCTTCAAATAGTTTTTGGTATGGAATTGGGCATGAATGTTGGCATTGTTGGAATTTATCTCACTGGTCAAACAATTTGAGGGCTTGTTAACTTTGGCATTATAAGAAATGTTGTTGGTGAATTTTCTATGATTTGCGAGAATTAAGCTGTTGAATAAAGTGAAATAGGGAGTTGAGTGGTTATATGGAAGAAATGAAGGGCATTATCAATATTTCATAAGTGGAGGCAGTTGAGTGGAGTTAAAGAAGGAGCTATATGCACTTTATTTGAGAAAAAATCTCTCTATCTATATATAATAAGAGCAATGCTATAAACCCAAATGAAACCAAAAGAATTACAACTCAAATGAATATCATCTCTCGGATTAGTGGGTCCCACCAATTTTTTCAGTGGGCCCACTCATCCTGGAAATGCATTTGAGTTTTAACTTTTGGATTTTATTTGAGTTATATAGCATTTTTCATATAATAAACAAATTAGATAGGAGGTGACTTGGGAAGCCTTCTCTCCCATTTCCTAAATTCTTAGAATTTTGAATTTTTAATTCAAAACCTAAGCTTTGCTCCAATCAAATTCTACCACGTGTTATTTGTAACCAGCCCTCAACTCCTCCATAACTAACCACTATTTTTGTCAAATGTATTAAAAAAAATTACTTTTATCACCCAAAAAATTTCTATAGTTTTTTATCTAATTTCTCAAGTGATAGAATGAAAGAAAAAATAAATCAAAAAAGTAGAAGACAAATTATAATTCCATGCATCTTAGAGGGTGGGACTGCTAGTAAATGGTATTATAGGGATCTTAGGAGTGTAATACCAAACCCTCTCCTCTCCCTTTATTAATAGTATAGATGCTTCTTACTTATGTCGGAGCCTATAAATTTTTGATTGATATTGACACCTGAACTGTAAGACTTTTTTACTATTGCATTATTTTTGGCCACTTTGGTGTTTTTTGTTGGTGATTTTACTATTGTTGAACCAGCTGTATATGGTTTTTTGTTTGACTTGATATAATGCAGTTGAAAATTCGAAATGGCAGTTACTTATGTTTGCTGGGGATAGAACATCAAATTAGAGTTCTCCTATTTAACTGCAGAAGTTTGATGATTTTCAGTGAATCTTTTGTTCTTCATAAATATTTTAGGTGCAATATTACTTTTCTTTCTTTTTCGCAGCAATGTCTATCCGCTTTATTCCATGGATTTCATGAAATGTGATGCAGGAATGTTGAAGGATTGCCATTTTGTGTATTTCTGAATTTAGCTAGGCTTGAACTAAGTCAAGAGAATTAGAGAGAAAACTCATTTTGACGTTACCAAAAAGAGAATCTATATAATAAAGTAGAGTTATTTTTGAATTCCAAAGACAAAAAGGGCCCAGATCGTTTCGGTATAAAACAAAGGCTTATCCGATGGACGAATTACCCAACATAAAAATGGCTCAGATCATTTTAAAAATAATGATTTCAGCAGTTCCTGGAAAACACTATATACTCATTCAACTCTTATTCACTAGTTCAATGTCTGCACGTCTTGATGTTTAGTTATGTAGCTTCAGTGACTTAAAAGTTTGCAGTATGAAATATGTTTTTCCAGATCAGGGATAGGATCTAATTTAGTTCAATGTTATTGACATTCCAGGGAAGCCTGAGTTTGTAGACCAGCTTTCATAACCGTGTTTGCTCCAAACTGGAATCATTTAAAGATATATTTCAACTAATAAATAGTTGTAATGTTATGAACTCATTCGAAAAATTCTGACTTGTTTACTGTTCATTTATCTAAGGAATTGGTACAACAGTAGTTTGAATATTCGCATGATTTCCGAAAGATTAGAGATATATTTGTGCTTATTTGTGTGGGTTCTCAATTACTCATACATTGTATCGAGGTTGATATGGTGTTCTATTTGAGATTTACTCGATTAAGCTTCTCCCCATTATAATAGCAGGATAATGAGGCATTAAGAAGCAGCTCATCTACGAATGGTGATGGTTATGTGGCCTTGTTTGTTCGGATGCTTGGATTAGACCATGATTCCCTTGACAGAGAACAGGCTATAGTTGCTCTATGGAAATATTCACTTGGAGGAAAACAATATGTTGATGCCATAATGCAGTTTCGTGGCTCCATAAATCTCACTGTAAACCTGCTGAGATCAGAGTCTAGTGCTGCATGTGAGGCAGCTGCTGGTCTTTTGAGGATGATTTCCTCTGTTAATGTATACAGAGATTCAGTAGCGGAATGTGGGGCAATAGAAGAGCTAACTGGCCTGTTGAGACGATCTTCCTTGACTTCTGAAGTATCAATGATATATCTCATCGTTACTACTTATATGAATGTTTCTTGGAATATGAAATTTAGGCGAATCTTGGAACTGTGCAGGTAAAGGAGCAGAGTATATGTACATTGTGGAACTTGTCTGTAGATGAGAAACTCCGAGCAAAACTTGCAAACACTGATCTCCTTCCTTTGCTTATCAAGTTCTTGGAGGATGAAGACATAAAAGTGAAGGAGGCAGCTGGTGGGGTCTTGGCTAATTTGGCATTGAGTCACCCTAATCACAAGATTATGGTTGAAGCAGGTGTTATTCCAAAAATGGTGAGGATTATTTTAGGTTGATTTTGCTTAGGCTAGAAAATTTCACATTCAGTGCAAGCCAAAAGAATCTGCCACCAGTGCCATGTATTTCCCCCCCAAAAAAATAAAGAATCTGGCATAGGAAATGAAAGAAGTGATTGGCAATAGATAAAACAGGATGAAAGCAAACTGGTGAGTACCGATCACGCAAACAATGTTAAATCTTTGGACGTGGAAGAAGTAAAATTAAAATGACTTTGTAAACTGCATATAGTTTGAAATTTCATTAATTACTCTACAAGGCTTTAAAGAGATTTTTTTGGTAATCTTAAAAGTTGAGAGCCAATAAAAGGTTCAGTCTTGTTGTCAACCAACATTCTTGCTAAATGTTATAGTATCTTATTTGCCTTCTCAGAAGGTAATTGTGTGTCAATTTCCTCATACGATGGGTAACTTTTAGGCATATGGTAGCTCTATTGGGTGTCATGTAATATAGAGCTTCATGTACAGAAAGGAGAAAAATTAGAGAAGGATCAATTTGGTTGAAGATGCCCTCTCTATGAAGAAAATTATCCTCTTGTTTGTTGACTAATCTTTTATTTTGTTTTTTCATTTTTTATTTATTTATAGGAGTATATAGATATGTAATGGTGACTTGTGTGGGATAACACTTGTATGTTTGAATCATGATAATCGGTATATATGAGGATGGAAATTTCCAATGTCAAACATTCAGATTCTTCTCATTTGGGTAAGATATGAGGCTAGTGTTTACCTTTATATTTTTGAGTTAAAATAGAACAGAGTAAGCTGAGATGTCTGGCTGTTGCCTGAGTTTGAAGTTGTTGAAAGAGATCGGTGATCTCTTTAATTAAAGATGAAAGGCCAGTCTAGTAAGGGTAATCGAACTAACTGGAAGAAACCACTATGAAAGGGAGTATCTGATTTCTTCTTTGCCAGTGTAATTTACTGGGGGACATTCTTTTGACCAATCAATTGCTGTACCATACAATATATATATATATATATATATATATATATATATATATATATATATATATATATATATATATGACACTGTTGGTTGCATCAAACTATCAATGCTAATGTGGTTTATTCAACATGGTGGACTTCTGTCTTTAAGTATGCATTAATTTTTCATTTTCCTTTTTCTTTTTTAGTTTCTGTTTTATCTTTCAGCCACAGCTAGGCTCCATTGCACTCTGTACCTAGGGAACTTGAACATTGCACCTTTCTCCAAATATAGGAGCATGAAATGTTGTTTGAGCTATCATGGTCATTTTCTAGTTCTGTTCACCAATTGTATTTTCCATCTGTCCAACTTATTTTTCTACTGGATCCCCCCCCCCAAAAAAAAAAAAAAAAAAGAAAAAAAGAATAGTGATTATGGACATGGACACCCTTAGTTCAAGTGATAATCAGACTTCAGATATTTTTTTAAGCTTCCCAATAGTTTACACCATGAAGGCTTCTCACCTAAATAGTGAATTAATAGAGATGGTGTTGGTCCCTCCAATGTGGATTGCAGGAAGGGATAGACTAATGAGAGATCAGGCCTCTGACATAATTTGGGCAAAGTGGCTCTTATGACACTTAACCCATCATCTCATACTTGGCAGCTCGAGCACTTGACTACTGCACCCAGCAATACTGCCTAGTTTGAACAACAATGCGCTGTAATGAAATAGCAGTAGTTAAGGCATGCATCAGGCATTCTTAAATCACATCTCATCTGCCAAACAAAGACGCTACTAATTGTAATTCATTCATGGCTATATCAAATATGGCTACAATGAATGTTCCATTTTTTCCTGCACCTCTTCTGACCTGTTTACAACTTGTATGTGGTGATTTATTATTTTTTTTGCTGTGTACTACTTGTTTTAGATTTGTCATGCAAGGTAGTTGTGGCCCTTTCCTACACTAGATTATAAAACGTCGTAAATGCAAGTGTTGAATCTTCTTCTTGTTGAATTTTGTGTTCGAGGGATTCTAATCGCCTTGGATACTGAATGCAGGCAAAACTTTTGAAGACTGATGCTGAAGGATCTAAGGTCATTAGAAAAGAAGCTCGAAATGCATTGTTAGAGTTTGCAAAAGATGAGTACTATAGAATTCTTGTGGTGGAGGAAGGTCTAGTTCTAGTGCCATTGGTTGGTGCAGCGGCCTACAAGTCCTTCAGACCAGATTTACATTCATGGCCTTCTTTGCCTGATGGTACAGAGATTGAACAGAGTTCAAAAGGTCCTTCCCGGTATGGTGCCTCCGAACTACTTCTTGGACTAAATATTCAGGACAAGAATGCCAACCTAGAGGAAGCAAAGACAAACGCAATAGTGGGACGAACTCAGCAACAGTTTCTCGCACGCATTGGGGCTATAGAAATGGAAAATGAGAATAAAGTTAACAGTGAATCATCTTTAAGTCAGCGATCTACCCTCTTGCCATGGATGGATGGGGTCGCTCGATTGGTCTTAATTCTTGGCCTTGAAGATGAGTTGGCTGTTGCCAGAGCTGCAAAATCAATTGCTGATGCATCGATCAATGAACACATGCGGATCTCCTTTAAGGAAGCTGGAGCTGTCAATCATCTTATTCAGCTATTAAATCATCATAGTGGCAATGTTAAATTGGCAGCAATTCATGCTTTGGAGAGGCTATCTGTCAGGTTTTTCATTGTTTACTAATTTTGCATCCTGTTTATCTGAGTTGTGGTTGTTATGCATGCTGATATTTTTGTATGCAAATGAGGAAACACTTGGAAAGAAAATAACCCCGAGTATCTGAAAAACAAGTCATGACTTCAAAGGAAACACTTCTTGATCTAGGGCTGGGTCTTCTCCATTGTAGAAACAAGTTTTCTCCCCCTGCAAATGAAGCAAGGTTTCTACCTACAGAACTGGTGATCAAGGTTTCTGGAAGGGAATGGGGCAGGGAGGCCACTCTAGGCAATAAACTTTGTGCCCCCTGACTGGGGGAGCAGTGTTTATGTCTTCACAATTATGTAGTTTTTGAGAAGTTCTTGTCTGAGACCATAATGGGGTTTGGATGGTTTAAAATCAGAGAGAATAGGCAAAGCATGCCCAAGTTGGATTTTTTTTTTTTTTGGGTTGCGTTTGTCCTCGAGTATTTTTCTTTTCTTTCTGCATTTCCTTACCTGCAATGAGTGGTATGGATTCTTAAACAAGCAGTGCCTAGATGAATTACTTAGGAAATAGCTGACCATGGCATTCCTATTACACATCAGTTGCAATTTCGTGCATGACTTGTATTCAATTATTTCTGTTTTCATGTCATTGTGTCGGAAGCTTGCCAATGCCGATGTCAACAATCAATGTTTTTTTTTCCGTTTGCATCATCATCAATCAAATATTAAACTAACCTTTGTGGTCTTTTTCGGCAGTTGCAAATTTCAAAAATTTTATATTTCTTTCAACTTGCTTGAGTTTCTAACTTTTTATTGATCATTTTTGTATATTTTTGTATGCAGCAATGATGTTTGCCTGAGAATTGAAGCCGAAGGTGCTTTGTTTCCTTTGATTAATTCACTGAAGCACTCAGAGATCTCTGAAAGTTCAACAGAAATGGTAGTGCAGTTACTTTGTTGCTCACCCAAGTTTTCTAGCAAATGCATTCCTATCTGGTGTAATTGCAATGAAAATTCCCTCATGCGCCATGCAGATTTTGAATATCCTTGCTCAGGTTTTAGACCCCAGTAAAGAAATGAAATCAAAGGTTAGTCTGTACTGCTCATTCATTTTCATGTAAGCTTCAAGATATAATGTTTATTTTTCTAATTGCTCTGTATTTCTGTCTGTCAGTTTTATGATGGACCTGTTAATGGATCAAAGAAGCAGTGGGATGCAAGGAGAACTACAGCATCAGCAGAAAATATGGATGAGATTCTATCAAGATCAACTTCCAGGTTCTAATATGTTTATTTCTATGTCAGAACATCCCATCACTTCCTTCTATTCATCTTCAGAATATTGTGTGAGCATGATTGTTTTGATTACTAGGTATGTCTCCTCTTACCATTTGTAAGCAGAGAAAATTTAGGTGATAGACGAAGCTAATTGGCTTCCATCAATCATTTCTTTATCAAAAGATTTCTCCTTCTGTGTCAGTCATACCAGCATTAAGCTTCTTCAAAAAGGGAGGATCCAGCAAAAACAATCTATTTTCACCATCATGTTACGCCGAATAGGAGGAAGGACAAAGGGAAACATTGATATTTTTTTCTTTTCTTTACTTGTTTTTGGGGAGTGGGGTGTACTAGGCCCAAGTCACATGGATTTTTTTTTTCTTTCTAAAACGTATGATGTAGTGTCCTGGCTATGCTATAGTGTCCTGGCTATATTTTTGTTGATGTGAGTATGATGTGCTGAACATGCCTCTTCCTAAAATGTGTGCCAAGAGGGATGTCCAGCAAAATAGATGAAACCAATGTTTCTTAGGAACTACATGGTTAATTACCTCATGCAAACGTTCCAAACAAGTGCTGTGTTTTAGTTGCATAGATACTTCATTTTTTTAGCCACTGATACAGATGGAGAAAATTGGATGGATTTTAAATGTTCAGCGTGTACTTGTCTCCTAACACGGATGCTGGTGGATATGAAATCCTAATGCAGTACCTGCAGATGAAGTGCATATGCAAGTCCATATGGCATAAGCCTAATCTTTTTATGCACAACAAATTGTTGACATGGTTTAACAACTTCTGGCAGACACAAGTTTATGAATTCTCTACTGCTTTGCATGGATGTGAAAATTTCGAGGAAAAACAGAGGTTATAGTAAACTATTGTATGCTTTGATTCCATGTTGCCTTGCTTCTTCGAAGCAACCTACTGTTGATAACTGCTGCGAAGTAGAACGTAATGTTTTTTTTATGGTTGAAACTGGAATACGACCTGCATGCCTCTTATTATGGAACCTGTCTGATAGAGTATTTCATTATGACTTCTTAATGGGAATGGTGGGCATGTCACAAATGTTCGTTATGACTTCTCCACCAGTAACATGCCGCTTTTATCCCATACCAATTAAAAATGAAGAAATTTATCCCATTTGTTGGAAGATCTGAATTTGAAATTCTTTTGGAATTATTGTCGTGGAATGTTTGGTTTTTCCATAAAAGTTCAAGATCATTCAAGCTGGATGACCCTCAATGGCAGTTCTTTATTTTATATTGCTCTTTTAGCTTTTTATTATGCACGGAAGAAAGCTTTAGCTGTCATCTGTGGAACTTGCTGATAGAATGTGATTAAGTGCTTCGTGATGAAAGTTCATTAAAAACAGTGCATTTATTTATTTCACAGCTTGCAAACCATCCAGGTGGTAGATCTGTTGGATTCTGTTGTCCTTGCTCGCCTCATTGAGATTCTGAAAACATCATCCCCAAATTTGCAAAGAAAGGCTGCTTCCATTCTTGAGTTCTTAACAGTTAGTGAGCAATGCTTTGACAAAGTTATTTCTGCAGGCATTGAATCTGCTTTAGAAGCTGTTTTCCAACAAAGAATCCTGAATGGTATGGGAAACATTTATCTTTTTCAAGGCAATTTGCTGCTTGTTTCCATTCTCTTCGCAGTTATGAATCACAAAAGAAATAACTTGCGACTCAGAAGATGATCTCTATGTCTGCCTAAATTCTATATGCCTTTTCAAAAAAATCACTAATCTACATTTGTAGCTGAGAAACTGGAGGGAGCATGAGAAAGGCGAGCATTTATTTCTTATGCTTTGTTGATGAGGGAGTAGTAAAGAGAATTGAGAAATTTCTTGCCCCTTTCTTGAGGAGAGATTTTGCTTCATGGTAAAGATTGTGCTCACGTTGACTCACACAGAATTACAGATGTTGTTTGTTCTATTTCCTTCCCATTCAATTTTTCATCAACATAGAGCATTGATATGGCCTTGAAATTTATCAGTTGAAAGTGAGACATGCTCAAGATTATCAAAACACAAGTTGAACTCGTTAGGGATAAAAGCGATACATGCTAGACTGGGCAACTATAGTTAGCATAATGACATCAGATTGTAGATTCTCTGGGTTCAACATTTCTGACCACAGTTTTAAGAAGCCCTTTTGAGGTTTGCCTCAAGGCAAGGCAACCCTAATAATGCCTTGGTCTTTAAGTAGTAGTTAGGTTCTCATTGAAGTCACTCCTCATGAGCAAAATCGTGGTCAGAAGTGCACTTTCTTCCTTTTTTCCTGCCACAATTTATGAGGTGTATTCCCTGTTTGTCCAAAGTTTTTGCTTAGACCGTAATCTTAAGTCACCTTCCATTCGTTTCTTTTGTTATTTTGTCATTTATAACTTCATAACCACAAATTATCACAACGTGCACATAGTCACAGCCGTAATATTCTACCATGTTTCCAACTTGGACAAGTGTTAAGGTATATTACTACATATAGTATATATACGCGAAAAACCAGGAGATCAGCAACAAAATTTTGAATACACAATTAAACTGCAGAAGCTAAATTTGTGCAAATGGAATCACCACTTTTATTCCATGAATATTGTTGGAACTTGATCATTGATTGTGGTTAGCAGGTAGTTTGGGTCTTCGTGGAGATTGTGAGGGGTTGTTAGAGAGAGACAATGATGTTAATTCATGGTTGAGGTAGGTAGTGCATTAGTGATGGTCATTGCTGGGAGTTGGAGGCGTTTATGAGCATGGATTGAGCTCTGGCTCTGGGTTTGGTGGCTAAAGGAAGAAGGGTTGATTGATGAAGGGGAGTGGAGCAAAAAGGGAATCAGTTATGGTCATTAAAGGCCATGGGTGGTATCTTAGTCTGCTCTTAACTTGCTATAGATAGATAGGGCAGACTTGGTGAGGTGGAGTCAATTGTGGAATAAAGAGTAAGGGAATTTAAGGGCTTCCTAAAAGGGATTTCTTTATCTGAGGGAAACAAATGTGGGAGAACATTCTAATCATAAAGTTCACTGTGGAGAAGACTCCTCCTAAGAATCTAAGGTTTTGTTTGGTTTGCATCTCAAAAAACAGTATTCGGAAACTGTTATTCGGAAACTGTTTTTTGGAAGAGTTTTAGAAAATTATTTTTGGTATTTTTTATGTCGCAGAACTTGTTTGGTTATATGATTCCAAAAACAATTTTACTGGATAGAAAATAGTAGAACTTATTTAGACAATAACCTAGAAAACAATAAAAATGAAAATGTGGTGGTAGTACAAGTGTGGTTGTGGTGGTGTTGGTGTTGGTGTTGGTAGTGGTGGTGGTGGGAGCGTGGTGATGATGTTGGTGTGGTGGACGTGGTGGTGGAAGTGTTGTGGCGGCGGTGGTGGTGGTGGTGGGAGTGTGGTGGTGGTGATGGTGTTTCTAAATTATAGAAAAGGTGTTTCCTAGATTCTAGAAATGTTGTTTTCAAAACACATAAAACAACTCTAATTTATTCTTTAAATCATCTCAGTTTTCAAAAAAAAAACTGGCCAAATAGCTTTCTCCCCGAAACTGTTTCTGTAGGCAGAAAACAGTTTCTGAGATAGAAACCAAACAGGGTTTCTGGATTGAACATTTGCTTCTTGAGTTCTCACAAGCAAAATAATAGATATCATGCAGTGGTGGTGGTTTATGCTATTGAAAGTTTTTTGGGGCCTTTTGATACTTCACTATATCTATTTCCTAGATGAAAGATGAAGAAAATTCTCCCATCAGTGTGTATGAACACCACTTGACTTCAAAGAGCATTTGATCCGTCAATTCAATGATATCCCTACTCATAGGTTTTCTCTAGAATATGCGAGAGTTAATCCATGTGATTTGCTTGAGTTTCTGATACCAGTAATGAACTTGAAACCTAGTAGACCCATTACCCATTCTTGTATTCTTTGTATTATTTCTAGTGTTTCTGATTTACTAACTATTGTGTCAAACTGAGAATTGCAGAGGCAGAATCTGATATAATTTGTCAGCAGCCAGAGCTCCATACCCTAGAAGTCGAAGAAGCTGGTCTTGCAATATCTTCAGCATCCAGGTTACTTACAAGACTGCTTGACTCTGAGCAGTTCCGGGGCACTATTAATTCATCCCGTTTCACAAAATTTCTCCGTGACATACTCAAATCAAGTATCCCTCTTCACAACAAGGACTGGGTGGCTGCTTGCTTGGTTAAACTCAGCTCTCTGTCTGGTCCCAACCCGGACTTCGAGAATGCAATTAGTATGGAGGTAACTCTTTTTGAGACTATCCCAAGGTTGATAGAAGAGATAAAAACCTCGTTTTCTCCAGAAGTTCAAGAAGCTGCTGTCATAGAGCTCAACAGAATAATTTCTGAAGGGGTGGTGGATTCAACTAGAGCTGTTGCTGCCGAAGGGGCAATATTTGCATTGGTGAAACTGATTGAAGAAGGGAGTGGAAGAGCTGTTGAAGCGGCATTAGCAATACTTTACAATCTAAGCATGGATAGTGAAAACCATTCAGCAATCATAGCTGCAGGAGCAGTGCCAGCTTTGAGGAAAATTGTACTTTCACAAAGGCCACAGTGGATGCGAGCTCTTCGGTTGCTGAGGACCTTACCGACATAATGTTGCAAAGAAAGATGATTGTTTTGCAGAGGAAATGTGAAAGAGAATGTAATTCCATATGAACTTTTTGCAATTTTTCTCCACACTGATTTCATAGTTCATAACAATATGAAGTTATCTTGGTTGGGTAGTTGATCCACACCAGCTGGCATGTATACTAACTTCCTTCTTAGGGTTGAGCTTAAAACTCAAGCATAATTGTCCTTGTATCTGATGAGCTATTATTGTCACCCAGGTCTTGACGCAGTGATGAAGTTATTTTATTCCAATCTGTCACGGAAATAGTTTCTCCAAGTGTAGAGGTAAAATCGTGTACATTTAATAGCTCTCATATCTTACAGAAGTATCAGGCATTAATTTTTTATTTTATTTTTATAAATATTATGTACTGTTTGGCCTTTTCTCAGTTGTCTGACTCAGATAAAATTGATCTATGGAGAATTGACCTTGCTTTATGCAATTATTGAGGAAGATCTTACTTATAACTTGTGAAGCCATTGCAATCCATCTCTGGCTGCCGTATTGGTACAATTCAATAAGTATTAGGATTTGAAGCTTGAGAAAACCATGCACATGGTAGAAGAGAGAATGTGATAAGGTCGTATCTAATGCATAAGTCTTGTGCCTATAAAAAATTATTTGGAGTGGTGGTTCTCAAATTTAAGGTTAAAGTGTATTGTTTTGTTGTGAAAGCATTTTCTATCACTCCAACATAGGCTTCTCTGGTACAAAATGAGAAGTTTGTTATAATTATGTCACTTACACGTCCGTGTCAACTAATAGCTATTTAGATTTATCTTTATTTTTTGTAAATAAATGGAGTGAGTTTCAAAAAGAAAATAAATACATATTTTTATACATATCCTTTCAATATGACAATGGGTTGCTTGGGATTTGAACCCAAATGTAATCTTAAAGAGTAGGTAATTTTCTCATTAGATGAGTAAAAATCCCTTTTCAAACCGTGCTTGCATTTTTCATTGCACATGACTTTCCCTCTGTATACATTTAAAACTCAATTCCTTCCTTAGCTTAGACAAGACTTTAAAAAAGTTGAATACTTAGTTGATTTAACCCATCCTACCTACTACATCAGTATTTCAGAATAGAAATAAGTAAAAAATTATTGTTATCTATTTATTATTCATCGTCATGATTTAAATTATTCACTATCTCAAACATTAGACTTTCTAAACTACACCAGCACCAACAAAGATTAGTCTATAGCATAGAAAAAATATTTATTGTAACGGTTATACCACGTTAGTGTTATCACTTAGTGCAATCGTCCAACAATAACTCAACAAGTGGGTAAAGTGTATCTCATTCTTTTAAATAACTACAGTTCATGTAAGATAGTAACCACCGCATGTAAAAAAAAATAGGATTCACCTTATCCACTTGATTATTTGTTGTTGAACAATTACACAACGTAATAACGTTGACGTGGTATAATCATTACATTGAATATTTTGGGATCACACTTTTAAGATCCGGATCTTCTCTGTTTTTTCCAACGTTGGGATTTTAAAATTTGGGTCAAAACAGTCGTTTAGATAAGCACAATGAGATCTAAGGTACCATGGAAATCATGCTACCATGGAATAGTGGTAACGCCGGTGGATGTCTCACAAGTCTAACTAATACCCTATTATTTGAGGATGATTTCAATGATTCAGAGTTAATTCTCCTAGGAATAGATTCAAAGTGGTTCTGCCTTGATGAAGTTGTTCGTTAACACCCTAAAAAAAGGGGGTGGATCCACACATGAGGACTTATATAAACAACCAGTTAGGCCTATCCCAAGAAGGCCCGAGGAAACTTGCTGAAGCTGAAGAATGTTGTGAGATTGGGAGTTCAGTGAGTCAAGATCAAATATACATGTCTAGAACTTATGTCTACTTAAAAGCTTAAGCCTCTAAGTAGCGTGCCCATATTATAATATACTATGACACTCTTCTTTTTTCTATTCGACAGAAGATTCTTACAAATGTAATATTCAATAATTTCTCCCTCACGTGTAACCACATTGAGTTTATCTTTCCCCGAATTTGACCCTCCACTGATCTCTACAAATATTGTGTCCAATCACTCTTTATAAAAGCTCACTCTTCCATGGAACAATTTTTTTACCACTCTTTATGAGTCACCGTATTACCACTTTACCAAGAGCTCTTGCGCTCAGGCTTGTGTCATGTTTTTTTTTAGAGTTGCATTTTCATGACTTTTTTTTAGAGTTATTACTAATACTGACAGTCTGATGCGCTACACCGTTTCTTTGAGAGTTCAACCAAGATTATCACTCATTGGCTTTGATACCATTTTGTTAAGAGATTGAGAGCTTAGTGATCTAAGGTTCAATATATATGTATAGAACTCATACCTACATAAAAGTTTAAGCCTATAGATAGTAAGCTCATCAATAATATATTAGAACACTTTTTCTCCCTATTCGACATGGGACACCCACACGTGTAATACCCAACAAATAACACAAAAGGAAAGAGTGACAATCACTACCTTAAACATCAAAACTCACATTCTTGTCTCTTATCAAAAGGCTCCAATTTTCTGTGCTCATGCTATAACCAACATCACCTCATGGTTATAGCACATCTTATGTTCGAATCATCAGACATGCAATTGCAGCATGGAAATGTGGAACAATGGCTTCAACTTTCGTTAGCGATTCTTAAGTTTAACTAATACACGTGATTAGCACATGATTGTTCGTATCTCAATTTACTTGCACATACTTCTTACTGGTTCTAAGAAAGAGATGAAGCAAATTTGTTGAGCAACCTTGCACAAATCTTGTGATAACCCACCAAATATACAAGCCGTACTCTTGTGGCTCCTAATAATCATTTGAAAATTAGTTCCAGATGCAGCAATGACACTCACCCTTACATGACATCCAAGTGGTTTGATTGATGAGGTATGTCTAACAGCTAAAGACATGCTATCAGGGAGTGTATAAAATACCCTCATTGGTTGAAGGGGTTTTTTGCACTTTATATCGTGAAAGATTTTAAAATTCTCATTTCGTATTTTTAAAGATAAAATTTTTCATATTATATCCTTCATATATCAAAAATGTTATAATGTGGTTCTTCTGTCAAATTCTGTTATTTTTTTATTCAAAATTTAACTTATTGATACTAACGAAAAAATTAACGGAAAACTAACGCAAAGGTCACATTGTAAAACTTTTGATATATTGAGGGTACTATATAAAAAAGTACAAATTAAGAATCTTAAATTTTTTTGGGGTTTAAAGTGTAATTTTTACTTGTTTATAAATAATATAATAATTCTACAAATTTTTTTTTTTAAATCAATAAGGTTTGGTTCTTTTAAAAGTGGGGAAAAGTGACATTGGACAAATGCCATTTTTGTTAAGAAAAAGACCATTTTTTTTTTCCATACACCACCTTATGAGTTCTATTTGTTTTAATAAAAGGCCATTTTTCATGCACCACGTTTAACTTATTTGCCGGTGTCTTGAAAATTATTTTTTTAATATGGCAATCGTTATTGTGCCACAATTTTTTCTTTTTATAGTGTGGAACCACTCTAAGATAGGGCGGTGAAAAGATCGGCAAACGAGGTGGCTCACACAATTGCAACCCTCCAACAAAAAGGGAGTGATCAATGGATTGAGAATCCACCGATGAGCCTTCGAAGAGTAATAGTTGCGGAGAGAAGATTAGGAGTAAGTTAAAAGTCTTCTTACTGATTTAATAATTCTCTTTAATTTGTGATACAAATTTGAAAAATATAGTACTACTCTAAGTTCTATATTGCATTAATGAGAGTATATTCGAATCTCTCAACATATTTAATGCTATTACGACTGTCAATACTTGTGCTGTCACTTCACTAACTAATTAATTATTCTCACATGTCTTAAGCTGTAAAGGTTCTTCTTTCTAAAGTCTGGCCCGCCTAATGTATGCTTTTCTTTTTTTTTTTTTAACTTGTTTGAGTTAATTTATCTATATTTTGATTAATTTTTTTTTTTAATTTGATCAAAAACAGATCATTTATTCTAAAATTAGAATTTTCATGAAAAATAAATCTCTCATCATCTAATATCAAATAATTATTAAAATTTAAATTCAAAACGATTAAATTTACGATTCTCGTCTATTACTACTTTCTACTCGAGCTTCCCATTTCATGGCTCATCTGTTCCAACCTGTAAATTTGCAGTGACTAACTGTACTCTTTATTGCCTTTTTAGAACACTTTATATGAGTAAAATATTTTGCCTTTTTTGATCACTTTACATGGTTATAAAATTTTTATTACTCAGCATATATATTAATTATTTCAGTAGTGTCCATTTATTTATGCAAGTTTTTAATTTGCCCCACTTTGATTCAATTAAAAATATAGATTTTAAATTAACTTAAGGAGGTGGTCATGTATGTTTCGTCTTATTACACTTGACCGGTCATTTTGATACCTCGTATTTGCAATTTGTGTCATTTTCAGTCCTTCTCAAGTTTTTAAATAATATTCATTAATTGTGATCAAGTGACAGTCGTGAATGCTTTTGTTAATAAATTTAAATTATAGTTTTCGATTAGATAAAAATGATATAAATTTAAAACAATAGGAATAAAAGAGATACATTTAAAAATAATGAGAACTCAAATGACACAAACCGACACTTACTGTATTTTGCCTAAAAAGGTTATATTAAGCTTTTTTTTATACACATCAATCGAAAAATCCATCCATGGTAGGCATGTTTAATTCAGGTATAAACAAATATGAATTGGATAATTGGTTTTAATTCAATTCACAAGTACTAGTTGATTCTATCCTTTGTATAACAAGTTTTGGATTGATAAGCTATTAATCCATAGTTATAATACAAAATTCATGTTTAGATTAAATAATAGTGTATGATATTAAATTGAAAATGGTAAAACTACCCATATATGGGGGTGTGGATCCAGGGTATGCAGGGAGGATATAAAATCATTGTATTTTTTAATATTATTGCTAGAAATAAATATCATCCACCACATGGTATTCATTAATACCTAATATGAGGTATTAAATGATATTAGTGAATTGAGTCGGGATTAAATAAAAAACTAATACCAAGTCATATAACCCAATCCAAAGCTAATATCAAATCATTACTAGACTAAATTAATCTAATCCAACTTCTTAATATCTAAAGCAAACTTGCCCCGGGATGAGGAGAAGAGCAAAAGAGACACATTTGAACTCCCAAAAAAAGGGGCATAAATAATCAAATATGACATTTAGAAATTAGTAATATTTTGCACTTTTTATTAACAAAATCTTGAGAAAATTAAAAATGACCAAAAAAAAAAGTTCATTAAACAAAAAGAATAACAATGACTCAGATCGTTTACATCAAATAATTAATTTTATAACTTATATTTTAATTTTTAAAAAAGAGTAAATTTCGTTACATCAAATAATTAATTTTATAACTTATATTTTAATTTTTTAAAAAGAGTAAATTTACTTACATTCATTTTAACTATCCAATTACATTTTAATTACACACTTGCAACCCTAGGATAAATAAAAATCTAGAAATTGATTACCATACTTGATCCACAATCCTAATTGGGAGTATCACAATCCTAATTGTGATGTATAGATAGAGCTAAATAAAATAAATAAAATAAAAGATATATAGAAAAAAAATAAAATAAAAAATATATAGAAAAAAAATAAAAATATATTAAAGGGGTCCACATTATAATAAAGAAAATTAATAATGATCACAAATTGACACATAACAAATGGCAGGGACCCCAAAAGCCAACAAGGTAGGAAGAAAAGAAAGGAGAGAGAAGCAAATAGTAACAACCACCCCCATTTCTCTCTCTCTGAGTCTGTGGTTGTCTTGAACAACAGAGGGAGAGAGAGAGAGAGAGAGAGAGAGAGAGAGAGGGGGTCTGAAGAACACGTCCACTTAGAGAAACTGCGCGATCTCAACGGCAACGGCGTAGAGAAGGGGAGAGAGAGGGAGAGAGAGAGAGAGAAATAAAAAAGGAATGGGTACGCTTCAGACTTGGCGAAAAGCCTATGGCGCTCTTAAAGACCACACCAAAGTCGGCCTTGCCCATGTGAATAGCGATTTCAAGGTACCCCTATATTCTCTCTCTCTCTCTCTATATGTATATATATGTATATACATACATATATATGTCTGTATTTATATATAACACAAAATTCACAAACAATTTTTTGTTTTTTGGTTGGGTTTTTCTAAATTTAGGATGTGGATGTTGCGATCGTTAAAGCTACGAATCATGTGGAGTGTCCACCAAAAGAGAGACACCTCAGAAGTAAGAATCTATTTTTATTACTTGATTTTTAGATCCGAATCATTTGCATATATTTCTGTGGGTTTTCTATTTTGGAGAAATGGTTGTGTGAAGATTTTTGTTTGTTTTCTCTTATTTGATGTGTCATTTTTTAATGGTTTTTGGTTATATGGTTTTTTTTTAATCGCAGAAATTTTCGCTACCACATCGGCGGTTCGGCCTCGAGCAGATGTAGCATACTGCATACATGCACTGGCAAGGAGATTGGCGAAGACCCATAATTGGACGGTATGGAGTTTAGTGTTTTTTGGGTTCAATTTTGATGTTGACATTATATTTTTCCTCTGTATTGTTGGGATATGATGTGGGAGTTTATTGGATTTGTTGATGATGCTTTTGGTGGATATGAATTGGGTTATTTGCCCAATATAGTTGCTTACTTGACTATATTGACATATTTTTCCTCTGTATTGTTTAGATATGATTTGGGTGCTCATTGGATTGTTGATGATGCTTTTGGTGGATATGAATTGGGTTATTTGCCCAATGTCGTTGCTTATTTGACTATATTGGGTTTCTTCCTTATTATAATTGTGTGGAACTGGCACTCTGAATTGTGAAACTATTTCAACTAAGTAGTGACTAGTGAGCTGCTAATTACAAGTGAATTTAGTGCTTGTACGATGATCGTGCACCAGATAATTTTGTATATTAGCAAGAGTCCAATTCGATAACTTCACGTGCCAACTGCTTGAAACTTACAACTGCACTGTAGATTTCGTAACTTTTGCTGGTGCATATAATGCTTATCCAATGGTGGTGCGGTTATATGACCAGCCTATTTTTCTCAGATAGATCCCAACGTCATCAGTGTTAAAGCATCCAACCCAAAATCGCAATGAGTGGAGAGGCGCCTTAAGTATATAAATCAACATTAGGTGATCTTAGTTATTCAATGTGGAACACAAGCTCTCATTATCGATGCGTTATGTGTTGCACGTAACCAAACCAACCTCAAGGAAGTAGGATGTTATTTTCTATACCTGACGGGATCCATTTGATTTCGTAACAAACCTTGAGGGTCTGACTATAAATTATCCTTCATTAAAATATTCCAATCGATCTTTTAGCAATTTTGATTATGCTGGGTACACCTTTGTACTTGGATCATGGTACAATCCATTGACAACTCCAAACGTGGTATGCCTGTGGCACAAATTGGTAAATCTTGGTAGATTTAGAACTAATTTTATGTGACCATGCATAGGTCTTTCAGTGGTGTGGGTTAGCTTAGGGCAAATTGTAAACTCGAACATCTTGAGCTTAAATCTTGCTTATGACTTATAAGTTTAATCGATACCAGTGGTTAGCAGGTGCATGTATTTGGGGTGTACTTTGTAGGGGTGGGTCCAATGTGTGCCTTCTCTGGGGAGATTACTAACCATCCAAAAAAAGAGTCAAACTACACCACATCATGTGTGATACAAAACAGTGTTATCTAGATCGTTGGTCGATTTGGTACATGGGACGGGTGTGGAACTTGATATAATGATGTGGTGCGATTGGGATGGGATAAGCTTAGTTGGTACACTGTTTTGGGTTGTGATTCAGTTTGTAACTCTCATCTGGATCTCTTTCAATATTATACGAAATTATGTACATAGTTTACTAATATATATTTTATATTTTCTGGTAACAGTTACAAAGCAAATCATAATCCAAGACCACGCATCTGCTAATGGTTTTAAATAATAGAATTTAGTGGTTGCACATTTGTATTACGAGAAGAAGGTAAATCATAACTATCAAATATAAGATTAAGATCAACAAATTCTAAAAAATAACCATTTGGAGTTAATAATCCATGTAATAAGTTGACATGAGGAATGTTGAGGGTCTTTCAATTGTAGGGAGATGGTATAATGTGCATTTTTATTTTCTATTATCTATTTTATCCTTTTCTCTTTGAGGAAAGATCTCTCATCCTTTATGCCTTAAAACTTCCGTCTTTTGACAGTAACATCCTCATTTATTGTGTAGTATTAGACTGTTATTTGTATTTCTCTTTGTATTATTCATTAGGGCTGGTCTTCCCAATACACACGTAGCTCTCCTTATTTATATATATGAAAATGAAAGACCCCTAAAGGGTGTGGGATTCCATTATTCTTCATGTAGAAATGATATTCTGTTAAGACTATCATTGTCCATTTGCTTGTCTTGGATTAGTTTATCCAAATCTAGGGATGAGTTGCGTTAGTTGCTCCATTTGTTGCCACGAGGATTGTCTTACGGGCATATGCTGCTGCCGTATAGTTTTTGATGAAATTTGACAATAAGCAATGCTATTCCTTCAAATCTCTGTTAGGGTCTGAGATGACCATTTGTATTGGAAAGTTTTCGAATAAAGGACAAAAAATAAATAGTAGAATTGATACATCAATAGTACTTGCACCATGAAATAGGATATTGAGACAAGTTAAAAGTGACCTGGGCATAAGGTTTGAGTTTTAAGATAAGTTAAAAGTGAAGATAATATTATTGTAAGACATGGAACTTGTCATTTCCTTTTTATAATCATGTCTTTCTTTATAAATATCTTTTGTGTTGTTCCATAGGTAGCCTTGAAGACACTGATAGTTATCCATAGGACATTGAGGGAGGGTGATCCCACTTTTAGGGAAGAACTTCTGAATTTTCAACAGAGAGGACGCATTCTTCAATTGTCAAATTTCAAGGATGATTCGAGCCCCATTGGTTGGTACTTACACCCTATATTGTTATTTTCTCTTTTATCAGTGGCAGCTTCTTTCCTGTTCCCAACCAGATCTGATTAGTTATGCTTATGGTACAAAATTTTGCTGCTTTTGAGTTTTGTCTCTCATGTTTTATGTGCTATTTTTTTTTTCCAGCTTGGGATTGCTCTGCCTGGGTGCGCACGTATGCTTTGTTTTTGGAAGAACGGCTCGAATGCTTTAGAATTTTAAAGTATGACATCGAAGCTGAGCGTCTTTCAAAACCTGCCCAAGCGCAAGAGAAGGTGTGCCTTAACCCTTGTTTATATTTTTACAGATGGACGAGTAGAATTAAAAGGAAGAAAGGGAATTATCATAAAATTTTCTCAACTTGAATGAAAAAAATAAATAATGAGACCAAAAAACATGATCTTATGTTAGTTATGTTTTAGAAATACACTCTCCCTCTCCCTCCCTCTCCCTCTCTCTCTCTCTCTCTCTCTCGTAGCTCTATACGCTTTTATTTGGTTAGCTTGTTTGCTTGATAAATTTAGTTCCACATACCATAGATTATTGTTGAGCAATTAACATTATATATTTGCTTACATTCCTGGCAAAGGTGATAATATGGAGAAACATCCTAAGGTCTTCAAAAGAGGAGGTAGAGCAAGTGATTCGCTTGGTGCAAAAATTTTATTGCCTAGATTTAGTATATATGTGTGAGCTCTTTAACATCGAATTCAAACATGTGGACGTGAAATGCTATAATATTCTATTGGTATGTAGAAAGAGAAGCCTACTTTCTTAGCTTCGGTGGTTCTTTTTCACCTGATCTTCGTTCTGGACAAGAGCTGTATTGGACACTGGGAGGGACTAGAAGCAAATTGTTCGGAATGGAAAGAAAGAAAAATTTGATTGTCTTATCTTGAAGGACACAGGCTGTATTATCTTTATCATCTAAAATTCACTTACACCCAACAAAGCATGTTTTTACTTATTAAACCCCAAGAAATTTCTATGTATCTACATATTAATTGAAACCTACATATTATGTACGGTTGCCTTGTGGGATACTCAGAATTTACAATTTCTCCGTATCATCTCCTACTCCACCCCTCAACTCCACCCCACCCTATCTCACCCCAATGTTTCTGAAAAATATCCATTAATGTGCTAAATTAGTTTTTTTTTAAAATTTAAATTTGAAAGAGTTACTAAACATAGTGAAGTTAGGTAGTTAACAAAGATGGTAGAATCAGTCACATAGGTCACATGAAAGATGGTTAATTGGAGGAGACAGTTAAATAAGTCAAAGTATGAGAATTAAGTAATAGAGAAGGGAAGGCTTCTCTAGCCCACCTTCCGTAGAAACCCACACTCACTCCATCCCAAATCTTTTCTGCCTATGTCACCATCCCTACACCACCACCGAGGACAACACATGTCCACCACTTAGTACCATCGCCAATAAACTTGGTTCGGGCAACAAATTGAATCCAATTAACAAATTTGGACTTTATCTGCAGCAACAAATCGAATTAGAGCAAGAAATTTGATTCAAGGAGCTAAACTTGTAGTGGAATGAGATTGTTAGCCCCTTAACATATTGTCCAACACGGACCACACCTTGGCTACAGTCCAAAGTTTTTTTTATCTCCATACCGATTAAAAATCCTAGTGGCCAAAGAACTGGATATTATTCCAGTACAGAGCAACGAAGGATGGCATTGGGTCCTCCTCTTCTGCCACTTTTTAATGTTGGTGGGTTTCATGTGAATATTGAGGATGAGGAAGATATTGAGAAAGTGGTTGATAGATCAATGCCACTATTGTTCTTTTGTTGGTTTATATGATGGTTATGGTGAAGATTAGGGAAATTAAACAAATTGATCTGATTATGTACTTGTGTTTAATGGGAATGATGTAGTGGTGGTTGCAATGTAGTAGAGGTAGTGTTTGGGGGGTTTGGCTGTGGCGGTGCAGTAGTGGTAGAATAGAGGGTAAGGGGAGGAGATGGTGGTGGTGACCTCTAACACCTCTCCCTTCCCATTTGGCTTACAAAGTTCTTTTTGTCTTTTTAGTTAGTTTGTAAAATTTGTGTTGGTTGGATTGGGGTGCATATATTCATTGGGTTTGTTTTCAACCAAAGCCACTATCACAAAAGTCGCACAGTTCATTGCATAGTGCTTGTCGGTTTTGGTGCTAGGTATAGTGGCAATGGCTCGAATTTATATTTTGCGTTTGACTTTTATATTTATCTTTATTGGGTTTCATGGCTTGTGGAGCTAAAAGGTATGGTGGCAGTGTGTTGAATTCTTTTTTTTTTTTTTGGGATTTTGATGTTAATCTTTGAGGTTAATTTTAATTTGGTTAAGGGATTTGCAATCGGAAGGGATGGGGTTATGAGTTGCAATTTGCAGACGATACCATATTTTTCTCTTTGGGGAATGAGGAGAAAGTGAGAAATTTGAAGAAGATTGTTGATGTTTTTTGGGATTATTTAAGGCTCCCCTTAGGATGTAATCCTTTGGCTAGGTCTTTGTGGGAAACTTTCATCTTTAGGGGTGGTAGGCTTATGTTGGTTTAGTCTTTATTGGCGAGTATTCCTATTTATTTAACATTTCTCTGTAAGTTATTTGCTTCAGTGGCTAGGACGATTGAAGGAATGATGGAGTTATTATGAGAAGGAAAGGGAAAGGGTAGGAAGGATCACCTGATATCATGGGGTCTGGTTTATAGATCTTGAGCTAAGGAGGGTCTAATGGTCAAAATTTGTAAATGAGGAATGTAGCCTTGGTTGAGAAATAGCTTTGGAAGTTCCCTTTGAAACAAGGTTCATTGTGAAGTTCTGTTGTTTACATGCTAATGGGTAGGATGCTAATGTGGTTAGTTTTTGAAGTCCATGAAATTTTATTTCTTAGGGGTTACCTCTCTTTTCCAATTGGCTTAAATTCACAGTGGGAGAGGGCACGAGGGCCTATTTTTGGGAGGACTTATGGGTTGGTGAGTCTTCTTTTTCTTGCCTCTTTCCTCATCTTTATAGGATCTCTAGTTCTCATGACCAAACACTTGCTTCTCTTATTCAGCCCTATTCTTCTCCTATTATTTGGGATTTTGGCTTCCATAGGAATCAGGAACTGGTAGAGCTTCTCTCTTTGCTTAATAGTGTTCCCTTAACCCAAGGTTGTTTGGACAAAAGATGTTGGTCTATTGAATCTTCCTGTGTGTTTTCATGTAAATCCTTCTTTGGTTCTCTAGTTGATGATCCTTCTATTCCATTGTTCACTCTATTAGGGGTGATTTTGGAAGCCCTTTGATGGTGCAAATTTGTGTATGGATAATTGCTCATGGAAAAAATAACATGTATGATGTGTTTGAAAGAAGGAGACCCAAGGCTTGTCTTCTACCACAATGATGTGTTATGTGCAAAGGAGATAGTAATAGTGTGGATCATTTATTCTTATATTGTCCTATTGCGCTCTCTCTATGGAACAAGTTCTTTAACTATGTGGGGATTTGCTGGGTGACACCATGACCTATGTTTTTTGTGATTAGCATGTATGTTATGAGCTAGAGTGGAAATAGTAGGTGGAAGACTCTTTGGCTTTGTGCTTGTTTTGCTACGTTTGTGTGGTTTGGTTGGAAAGGAATACTAAATTTTTTTTATGCTAAATGTGAGGAGGTTGACGAACCATGTTATCGACTTTACTTTTTGGGCCTCAATGTCTAAAGAGTTCGAGAATACCCCTCTTTTTGCATAATTTTAGGGTGGACTGGCTCATGTTGAATGTAGTGTTGGTTGTTTTAATAGGGAATGTAGTGGTGGATTTTCTTTGTTTTTGTATTGTCTTTGGATTGGACAACTTGTCCATCTATTGCTTGTTTTTATTGTACTACCTTTTATTTTATTTTTCTTAATATAATCGTTTCTTATCCGGAAAAAAAAGGTTCTTGTAGGCTTACTGGAGTTGTTAACACAATTTAGTGTAGCTTCAATATTTAGCCTCCATTCTTACACATTTGACTAAGATCTAATTTATAGGACTTTAGGAAAGATATCAAAGCTGTTATAATTGTGAAGAATTTTGCACATGTTTGCTTGTATTTTAAGAGATTAAAATTTCGGCAGGCATGTTCATTCATGATATATTAATGTATGAGTGTTAGTGTCATATTCTTTAATTTTTATTATGGTGTAATAAGTATTTCTCTCTGAGGGTATACTAGTCATTTGTACTCTTATTAGGTAACTATAAATATAAATTGTGTGTGAGAAGTAGGGTATCAAGTTATTCTCTCCCTCTCTCATAGTGGGTTAATTCTTTCAATTCTCTAAACTTGACATGGTATTAGAGCAAGGTTATTGATCTGAAATTTGAATTTGAACCCTAAATTCTTCTCTTTTTTTTTTTTTTTTAAATTTTGAAAGTTGACTGGTTAGTTTGTGCAATCCACGACCATGGTTTAGAGTCGTGGGCGGTGGTCTGTTGATGTTGTGGTGGTCGTCAGAGGTGTGGTGTGGTGCTGTGGTGGTCGTCAGAGTTGTGGTGTGAGTGTCACCATCGGAGTTGTTGTTAGTGGCTTTGATGGGTTTTTCGTTGTGTTTGGCGGTGGTGTGGTGAGGTTGTGTTGCTGCTTGTCGTTGTGTGCTTAATTCCTGTTACAAGATGCCATCGCTGACTAGGGTTTCTGTGAAACCCATCACGTGAAGAAGCAGCAGCTTTGGTGGTCGCCGTCGATTTCTAGAGTTTCTGTGAAACCCCTCGCATGAAGATGACGACACTTGGGTTGTCTTGGGTCAGCTCTAGGCTTTTGGGTCTTATCAGATCAATGGATCATCCAATTTTTGTTTGGACCCAGCACACCTTGGTCTATTTCTAGTCCACTGCCCAATAAGGCCCAAGCAGTCTAGACTAGATCCAGCCCAATTCACGGTATAGCCAAACCAGAAACAGCCCATCGGCTCCTTGTGGTTCAGGTACATACCCGGTTGGTTCCTTCCAGTTCAGAGGGGATTCCGACCGGTTTGGTGGGTTTTCAGACTGGTTCAGTGTGTTTTTCAGTCGGTTTGGTTCAGTGCTCCTCTGCCAGTTCAGGTCGGTTTGGTTCAGTTCAGTTCAGTGGGCTTTTCAGCTGGTAATGGAGAAGGATGAAGTCTCAGGCCAAATCTCTATCCATGCTACAATAGGTTGCCATATTAGGACATTCTTTACTCAGCCCACACCTTATTCGGTGGAAATGATAAAAATTGTGAAAATAGACTCTTTTTTTAATAACAGAAAAGAAAAATGAATTACATAAATAAGAGTGTACATCGCCAACCTAAACCTTACATTTTGTGCAGAATATAACAATGGTGCTCAAATGTAAATGTGCAAAAAGTAAAAGGGTGTATGCAAATTTTATGCAATTAAAAGAATAAAAATGAAAATATCTAAAAAGAGAAATTATGAAAAAGAAAGACCAAAAATCTAACTACAAGAAAAATAAAACTATTATTAATCCGGTTTCAACTCGAATATATATATATATTTTTTATTTTTTTGAAAATTTATAATTATGATGTTTCAATACATTTTTCACTCTTTTCCACCATTTATCACCCTAGAACGCCCTTAAAGAATTTGACAAAAATAATGTATGTACATCTTCATGCAAGCCCAAAGTTACCGATTTAAATAGTTATTATTCAAGAATGCATTTAAATCAATTTTCATGATCTGTCCAAGCGTGAATGTGTCGATCTCATTACTACTTCTTGATAATGAAGAGTCTTTAGGCTCTTGAGCCTGTTGACTGATATGAAAATTACTATTTTCAACATTATCAATAGTAAAAATGGATGGACCAAACTCATTGCATTTCATAAAAAGGGTCACTCTCAACATATTGACCATGTGTATTGTATTCTATAG